CCAATGCCACTTCTTCCTCAGGGATGTGTTCTGGGTCTGTATCCTGCTCCCTTGTTTCTACCACTTTATCTTGCTTCTTTGTGTGGACTGTTATGCTCTGTTGTCTCTGAGACATCATGGCATTGTTGTATTTAGATCTCTGTTAACTGTTTGTGAAAAGCAGGCAAGGGTGAGTCAGGCTTTTCTTGGTGGCTTTTTATCATTGGCCCATTGGTGGAGAAGGCAGTGGTGGCCCTCACTCCCGTAAATAAAGCTGCAGGAGGTATGGGTGTAGTTTTGTCATATAGGCACTGTGGCTGTCTTCCACTCAGACAAAAATAACAATTGACTAACCATCAAAAAAGTTAAAAGCACATGGACAAAAATACACCATGTAATGACACAGGAACAGTAACTAAAAAAGGAAAAAAGGGAGAAAGAAGAAGAAAAAACAAAAACAAAAACCCTGTAATATCTGCAGATAGGAGAATAAGAGAAGGAGAATAATGAAGAAAAAATGGGAAAAATGCAAGAGGAAAAATAAGGAATGAAGTTAACCTTGAGAAACAAACAAACAAAAAACTTGCAACCAAAAACAGGAAAAAGAAAAGAAGCTGAAAGCTCGAACGTGGGAGGGGAAGAATAAAGAATAATAGTAAAAAGGACGAAAGTTACAATAATAATAGTAGTTTTAAAACAGACAAAAACAAACAAACTAAAAAACAGAAAACAGAAAAAAAATTGGGGCAGGGTGGAGCAGGACACCCAGGCTCCGTAGGAGCACACAGACTGGGATGGAATTACTGCCAGCCCAGGTGGGTGGGAGTGAGTGATGGCCTCACCTCCTTTCACCAATAGGGTGTGGGGTATAAGAGTAACAAGGTTAATGTCTCACCTTTCCAGTTGTCCAGGTCCAGAATGTCCTTGGGGTTCCTGGCACGTGGATCCTGTTCTTATGTCCCTGGAATCTGGAAAAACACTGGCAGTTTAAATATCCAAAATGGTCAATCCATTTGTAAACATTCAAAATGGTTGTACCTTCTGGATAGACAAAAGTCCACAGCTCAGCCCGCCTTCTTCTTCGCTGCTTCCCCTCTTATTCCCCAGCCACCAGAGGAGTCCTCTGTGCATTCACTGGCTAGCAGGGCTGATTTTTAGGTTAATTCTTAGGTCCTACTACCACTCAGCAATATCCAAGCTGTCTGTGC